TTAAAAAACCACACGCTGTATATATGAGCTGCGACGTCACGAGTCACGTGATCGCGATAGAATTCTACCGAGATTTTGGACGTAATTTAATATACCTACTTATATTTTCTGCAAAACATCTAAGTTCAATAGTCGTAAACAAGCATTAGAAGGATGTAACAAACTCCTCGATAGCAATAAAGGTAAGTGGCTGGAACTGTATTACCGTTAACTACTTTCCAGATATTTGTTCCTATTGGTGTTCCCTATTAACTGGAACGACTTCAACGGTGTTACGTTAATGTTCTCGCATTCGATACCCAACATCGATGAGCTAATTATTTACTGTATTGTCTGATATTCCGGTGAAGTACTACTAGGTTAGACGCTGAGATGACACTTCGTCTTGTTTCGATTTAAATGCCATTTATAGTGAAAGCTTCACCTAAAAATTTATTTGGATAGTAATTAATGTCATCGATTACAAAGCTTATTAATATTCACTAGAAAACGGACTGTTTAGTATGAAACAAGTAGTTGCGATAAAATACTTGTATTAATTTCGTTGGTGATAATGTATTTAAGATATATGTAAGTATTTAAAATGAATTAAATTGAATTTACTCTTAATAATAACATATTCACACTTCTTTGGTCTGAAGCTGCTATATATTTTTAGATTATAATGATACACTGTTCATTAAAGTCCATGAACCTATTTAGGTAACATGTTACATACATTAAATACATATAGTATTCTTTGGCAGTAAAGTATGAAAGTGTTCCTATTAGATTTATATTTAGATTTAATTATGTCTTTGCATCTACCATCCATTCAAACATCTTTACAAATATCAATATTATAATTACCACAAATTTTGCAAACCAAATAAAGATGAACAAAACGTGAAAGCGATGTAACTTCAATATTTATATAAAGTATTTTATTATTTCTTATTGAGACTCGTAAAGGAACATTTCTATTTCTCTAAACAAAGTTTACTTAACAATAACATAGCTGAAACAAAGAAGTCCTTTTGTTTGAATATTACGAATTTTCCGACAGGCGGTTCTCTTTACTTTATAGACTTCAGAATAAATCGGAATTGCTTTGTTCTATCAGTTGATGACATGTCGGCATGTTATGTTCAACAATGTCAACTAAACATTCGATGGTATAGAAGATTTATGTTACAAAAAACATTTACAGTGCCTATAGTTGTATTAGGATGTTGTTTACCATTAGATGCGCCGCATCTTGTTTGACGACGTCGTAGTATGAAAAAAAAAATCATATAATTATTACTGTATTTATACTTGCTTGTATATCATACTTGTGTGAGATTTTGTAAAGTCATCAACATATTCTAAATTTAAACTATTACTTAGTTACTATTTGTTACTTTATATTTAGACATATTTGTATAGGACAATAATTTAAAACTGAGTATATACCAGAAAGTTTGTAAGTTGCTCTAGTGATAGACATATGTCGATGTATTTGTAATCTGTAAAAAAGTAGATTATCTTGGGAACCACATGTGAAGACTGAGGGCCATGACCTAAGCAAGTTCTTAAAAATGAAAATAGATGCATATAAAGGGAGAGGACGAGCGAAAAAAGATAGATGCTGTGAAGGTGATGCATAAGAGGAGAGTAAGCTCAGATAAAGGTTTATCAGCATAAAGGTGCATGTAAGAAGAACACAAACTGCGCCGACGCAAAATAATGAAAAAAAAAGGAATTGATATAACAATATAAAAATGGCAATTACAATTGACAAATGTTATTACAAATCTTATCTAAAAATTTATTCCATAACGACCATGCAAGGAATAATATTATTTCCAGTTTTGCTATTGTATAAGTCGACAGAATCTAACTCGATGTCAGTAATGGTAATTATCTGAACGTTTCAGATAATTCCGTATAGACAGGTCACAGCCGTGTAACCTAGGGATTTCGCATACAAATTGGTTTAGTTATAAAACAGTACAATATGCATGTTCTTAGACATTTTAAGTACTAATATATGTATTTAATTGATAAGCAAATGCTTCTTTAAATAACTAGCTGAAACTAAGCACTACGTTATAGATTGAGTTTATTTTTATATTTACCGCGGTTTCTAAATTTGACACCAGTTCCACATTCTGTAAATTCTTAAGAGTAAGAATCGGTAGGTATGTGGCATGTTAGTATGAATTCATATGAAAAAATGTATAAATATTATTACATTTTCTAATAGTATCTATTTATTTTTTATTTATAATTCTTAACTGTGTCGAATTTTTTATACTAAATTATTATCTAATTCTAAAATCTAAATAATATCTATAAATTAATAATAACAATATCCCTCTCGGTAATAATAATAATAAAAATTATAATAGATAATAATTTCTAAGCTGAGCTACAATATTTGTCATTTATTAAAAAACTCATCAATGGAGTAAAAGCATTTATTGTAAAAAGAAAAAAGATTCTTAAGAAGGAACATACTGTGACATTGGTGTTTGTGTGACCGGGCTTATAGTTGATAGTAAACTGCTATGTGCAATATTCCGCGGTTGCAACAATCGAGTCTTGTTGTTTAGTGGTTATGTGGTTGCCGGTAGGAAACCGCAGTTGTCAACAAAATATTACAGATTGGCTTAAATTATTAAGCCCTTTAAAATTTCCACAGATGCGTAGCGCAATATTTTATGCAATGGTATTATATTATCTATTCTTATATTTCAACCTAAAAAGGTTAATTTTATTATGAAAATCTAAAGTCCGGAACCACTGGTCCGATTTTAGAAATTCTTTCATTGTTCGAATAGCCTACGTCTGGGAAAGTGATATGTTGCTTGAACTGCACCAGTACCCTTACAATATGCTATGACACACGGATACACATATAGGCTAGGACTTTACATAATCACGAGGTAAGGCAGGGTGATTTGCTCGTAATTTCATTGCTATATATATATATATATATATATACAAAGAGATGTATATACATATATATAATACAGGATTTAAATAAATACTTACATTCATGTAGCTTCTACGTGGGCTTATGACCTTAGGATAAATTGTAGAGAACAAACAAAGCTGAAGCGTAAGGTAGACATATATGAAATGAAAGTAAAATTTTGATGCCACGTAGTTAGATCTGAGATAAATAGTAACAATAGGCAGATAACAATACCCTTACGTTTATATCACGGGTCTCAAGGGTATTCGGGTTGTAGTCACAATGATGGTATTAGCGATGGTTTTTGATATATTTTATATTAAAACTAGCTATTCGCCCCGGCTTGGCTCCTTTACAAGTATTATACATATAATCCTTCTTCTAGAATCACTCTATATATTAAAAAAAACCGCTTCAAAATCCGTTGCGTAGTTTTAAAGATTTAAGCATACATAGGGACGGACAGACAGCGACAGTGACTTTGTTTTATACTATGTAATAATGATATAGTATGTTGCACTAATTAGTATATTAGTACTGGCGGAGTACCCGAAGAAGATGACATGATGAATATAAAATCATCATCAGTTAGCTGATAGTGATGAATGTATTTAGCAGGGATATACCTATAGATATACTAAGTAAGTTTAAAGTTTCTTTTGTATCATATTCTATCCCTGGACGATTCATACAGCGCCATTTAGTTCCAAAGTGGAGCTGTATTATAGATGCTGTGTTACTAGCAACTTATATAAATAATTAGATATATATGTTTTTCAAATACATAGGTATAAAATATACACAGAAAATGCCAAGACCGATGTAAAAACTCATACTAAAAATTTAAATATTTGTACTGTACGACGAATACAACACGCAAGCTAGACCGCTGTACTTTCAGTTATTATACGAGTACATCCTACCTCGTAGTAGTAGTGCATTGTAATTGAACTGCCAAAACTCACCATACAACCGAACTTGTAAATAAACTGCTTTACCGGTGACAGACATGCATAAGAAGTATACAGATGACTTTGTGTAAAGTCTATCTCTGTTTTTGTTTTCTATTACAAATAATGTTGTTTCATAAAAACGGTCACGTTATATATAGCCTTAGTGTGGTCATTTGATATATAGCTGATAGTCTACACCTAATATATTACTAAGACGCTTCCTCTCTCAACGTGACCGCGGTCTCGCCGTAATACCCTAAAGTTACTTCGGAAGTTCGACCATTTACTGTGTCTAACTGCTAATGTTTGACCCAACTGTACCTTAGGTGATGTAGTACCAGTCCAACGGTTGTACACTCAGCCAAATAAATGTAATTGTGCAGAAATCGCCCGAGGACCCACTAATTCCTTTACGCGATAATTGTTTGCGGTTCGCTTTTTGGCCTATCTTTTGTATTATCATTTTAGGGTATTGCTCCAGTTACTGAAAGCATATCTATTGTTATATTTCACATTTACATAATTACATAATATATAATATTTACATTTAGTGCCAGTATATAGTACTACAAGAGAAAACAGCTGTTTGGACTAGAGAATATTAAAAGCTATAACGCTATTAATACACATAGCCATAGGGGTATAAACCTGCTAGAAAATATTCTCAATATTTTTATTTCTAATAGAGATATTTTATTCTGATTTATGCATTACGTGCACATATATTTTACTGTTGAAGTTGTGAGGTGCAGATATTTATATCTGCTATAAGTGACTAGTGTCTACTACGACTAAACTGTGGGTTTTGTTACCTATTACAAACAATTGTCTGTAAACTGTAAAATAAAAAATTGCCTGTAGCGTTCTGGAATGATGTACCTTTCAAACCATGAAATAATTTCTACTCTTTATACCCGTAACATTTTTATAGATATATATTTTTCACTACACTAAAAATATGTTTACATAACCGATTTAAAAAGAAACTCAGTAAATTAAAACTTTACATTTTATTTTTTGTAACAATTATTTATAATAATTAAATATTTAAAAACTAATAAAAACACGTAACAAACATAATATCACAGCTGTGCTTTGGAAGGAGGTTAATGTTTTCCATGATGGAAACCCCAATCTTTATGATCGTGATGACCGCCTTTCTTGCCATGGTCATGATGGTGATGATGATGCTCCTCATGTCCGTGATGACCCTTATGACCTTTGTGATCCTCATCGTAATGATGCTTATCATGATGACCATGTTTACCATGATGATGTTCATGATGACCGTGCTCGTGGTGACCCCCCTTCTTGTGGTGACCTCCTTTCTTCTCATGATGTCCATGATGATGACCGTGTTTGTGATGCTTGCCTTCATCATGATGGTCATCGTAGAAGTGATGGTCCTTGTGGAAGTGATCTTTATGGTATTTCTTGTGGTAGCCGTCTGTTTTCTCACCTTTGTCGTGGTGTTTATGATGCCCATGTTTACCACCTTTATGATGATGCCCATGCTCGTGGTGATGACCGTGATGATCATGTTCATCATGGTGTTTCTTATGGCCGCCGCCATGCTCGTGATGATGACCTTCATGGTGGTGTTTCCCATGATGTCCATGATCACCTTTATGGTGATGATGGTGTCCCTTGTGTCCTTTATGGCCCTTCTCTCCATGCTCGTGGTGATGATGCGCATGATGCTCATGACCGCCACCTTCCTCGTGATGGTGGCTCTTTCCGCTAGCAGCCGCAACGAGATCTTTCTCCTCCTCCCCCAATTCCCTCGCCCATGTTGCCGCGAGGCATACTACAGCAACTGCTACCACTAACCTCATGTTCTCGATTGTGATCCGATGTAATTACTATCTTGTATTTATAGTTGTCAATAAGAAAGTGTTCCGCAATTACCTGCGCAAGCATTCAAGGACAAGTTCGTGGTGTTACCGACCGTCCGGTGAAGCGTTACCGTTGCAATTGTTATCCGACGGTCGAATTGCAATCACATGCATCAGCTTTTGTTACAATATAACATTAGTTTCTAATTTTTATTAGGTTTTTTTGCATTTTCTAATTTTTACTAAATTCTGTAATTGTTTTGTTAATATTTTTATCATGATTTAGTTTCTATTAAATACTGATACCATGATAATATTTAATAACGACTTGAACAAATTAAAAATAATTGGAAAAATGTTAAAATCCTAGTACCTATGTGGCTATATTCAATACATACTGACGGTATTATACTCTGATATAATTTTGTAATTTTAATTACATTTTCATAATATTAAATTTGACAGTTAGTTATTTCAATTAAATTAAAATATTAAATTATATTTATTGTTAGTATCAAATTCAGATTAATTCAGTAACATTGACTACCAAAATTTTGTTCAAATTTATCCATCCACTTGGATAACAAATATCGAATACGAATTAATTCAGTGAGTATCTACGTGTATTTAAAATAAATGTGTTAAACACAAATAGCCGGTATTCAGTAATAACTTTTAAATAAAAACAATTGAAAATCAAATAACAAAACCTCATTGTGTCCATTTGCGAATGGTGTTTTCATTCTGACACACCGCACAGACTGCCCATAGAAAATATTTTCCATCCAGACAATTTCTCCCCGCGATGCATAAAAGAACAATCTGCATCACCCTGTCGAAATTTAATCAAAACAACAATAGACATTGTCCGCAGTCTGTCCCTGTCTGAAGTTATATTCTGGAATGGCACCGTTTGACAATTGGCATTATTTTCACGTTATTTTGAAAATTTACAAACATTAATTATGTTGCATTAATTTAATGAATAATTTTTTGCGATTTACATTGTTGAAAAGCACTGAATAAAATATTTTTCTTTTTTTCTTTCTTTCTTTCATTTGCATTGATGTCTTATTACACCAACCACCACAAATTATTTAATATATATTAAACTGTACATTATACATCAAATAAGTAAAAGATAACGTAGTTTATATTTATTAAAAATGTAATTATAAATTTTACATACTGAAGAAGAAACAATCTTCAGTATTCAAGTTGTTTGTGGGACCCAGTACCTAGTTGACATCTAAACAAAATATTGCATGTTGCATACATAAGTCCACATATAACTACTATCTGGACTCATCTTCATCCACAAGACAATAACTGACTTTGATGAAAAGCTGTCATCTCGTTTCCTATTTTTAAAATCCATACTAATTTTATGCAAAAGTGTGGCTGTATATTCGTTTGTCACATTTTTGTGTCGATCCAATGCTTGAATAGATCTTAATGTGCGGAGATTCTCTTATTTCTCTTTCTTCTAAGTATATTTGGTACCATAGTCTAATTAAGAGCTAAATTAGACCAATTTAGTACCGAACTGACTTTTCTTAAGAGGGCTGAGTCCAGAAATGAAAATGAAAATTAGCATTAAACTTTTATTAAAAAAAAGACACATGAAAACACGATAAAATTATATAACTATCAATTTTCATAAAAAAGTGTATCTTATTTATAATATTAGTTAGTACCTATATAATAAAGATTCCGGAAACAGAAATTGTAATAATCTACATATCATTTTTTTAGGCAAAGTTTTGTTAAGCTGTTATCGACTGTAAAGGTACAAAATAATCCCAGAATACAGCCGCTCACAAAGAGGATTTCACCCAACGACCCTTCCGAGTCGGCATGAACTTCCACTGGGCAAATATTTTTGAAGATTTCAACTATGTTTGTATTCTTAACTGACAGTGGAAAAGGTACCTATTTCATTTCGTGCCTCATTATTTATACAGTTGATCCCTTCTAACGATTGCGTAATGGTTTGTGGATTTAGTTAATTGTAGATTTATTACCTGATTACAAAATAAAGGAAGGTGTACACGTGTACAGTCAATACAAGAAATTTTTATTAGTATGGGATTTCGAAAAGATGGAGGTCGCAATTAAATAGTATAATATTTTTTATTATTCTTTTAAAGTCTTAGTCATATGATTTAGATAATATTGCAAATTTTAAAACTATGTGTTTCTTTTTAATTACGTTACATTACTTTTTTTTAATTATAATTATTTTTAAATTAATTATTATTATCTCCTCTAATTTTCATATATTTTTATATTTACTAATTTATGGTCTTGTGTTTTTTTTAATTAAAGTTATAGTATTATGGTAATCTTGATTGCTACAGGAAAAAAAGATGTTGACTAACTGAGTGTATTCATAATTCGAATATATGTAGGTGCAGTCTTATTGACTGCTGCAGAAATATTTGATATTTCTGTAGCAGTCAATGAGCTGCTGCATCTGTCAGTGCTGGAAACATGAGGTCGTGAGTTCAAATTTCGCTTACACCAAAAAAACTTTGTTCATCAAACACTCTGGTGTAGGAAATACTGATATTAAACCAAAAAATTATCTGATAGACGGCAGTAGGTTCATCCCCTGCCGTATTGATCGGAATGTGAGCATATCAAGTGTTGCATTCACCACAATATCGACACGACATATCGTGTCAATGCCTCTGACTACCCTATCTAGTATAACAGTCGTGATGGTACCATATTAATACAGTAAGCAATAATATTAATAAAGTATTTAATAAGTCGTGTTTACATTATCAACCGTTTGTAAACAAGAGTATCGATTGAGCGGTCACATTCTCTTTTACAATTATAAATCTTTCTGTTTAAGATAAAACGTCCAGGTGTGACCGTTCCCAACCTAAGCCGATTTGGTCGATTCCAAACAACTTTTTATTCCATTACCCGGAGAGCAAAGTTCAATAAAAGTACAAGGAAAAAGTCGTCACTTTCGAATTGTAAATATAGATGTCGCAAGTTTGGCTCGGATTTGTCATGTTATCTCGAGACAATCGATCACAACTGTGAAATCATTCGTTTCGGAAGGAAATACTTCAGCCCTCAACTTCATTGGGGTTGTAACTCGTGACAGGTGAGTATAAGGTAAGTGACATACATTTACAGAATCGTATCGTATTTTTTTTTTCAAATTGTATTTTATTTTTTAGTTTATAATAAAGACTCTTTTTGTCTAACAATTAATTTAATCTTAATCGTAATAATATTATAAACGTGAAAGTTTGTGTGTGTGGATGTTTATTACTCTTTCACGCAAAAACTTCTGAATGGATTTTGATGAAACTACGGTAATATAGCTCATACATCAGAAATTTATATATTGATATTTAACTCAAGTAACATACAACATAGCTAGTATAAAATAATTAGGAGTTATTTAATAATTTTCATATTATTTCCGATAACCAGTAAATCCATTTAATAATTAAAATTTAATTCTAGAAAAGTATCATACTATTTTCTTAGTTTAAATATTGTTAGGGATATGTCTTTTTTTGAAATAATAATTTATAGTGTAATCGAATTGAAATTAATCATACATCAACACGGTAAGTAGCAAAGGTAAAGGGCAACCAAACCGAAAATCAGATAGAACTCGTCAATCAGAAAAAAAATCCCCAACCAATAAAGTAAAATTTCAAATATATATCTAATTGTATAAGATATAAAATATTTTTGTTAATTGTATAAAATTCAAGATAAGTATAAAATAAATATGTTAAAAACAACCAATTTTACACTTTGGATTTTTGAAATCTTTATTTACTGTATGCTTATTTATATGACCTTTATGCCTGTCCTTAAAAAATGACATTTTTTTATTATAATATTTACGGCTACAGCATTTATTTTAATACCATACGCATAATTACACCCATAGATGTCTCATATTAATACAGCTGTATTATCATCCCATAAAATATGCACGATCTTTTCGGTACGTATCTTTGTCAAAAAACATGTTTCAAGCTTACCATAATAACATAGTATTGTCATTCTTATAATTTAGTCAGTAGTTACTTTGTAGATTCTATTATTCAAAAATATATGTTCATAGAAAAGAAAATAATGTAATCAAATTTATTTTAACAACAACAATTATAATGTAGCAAAAAAAAAGTATAATAACATATTAAACATAAATTAAGATGAAGAAAAAATATATAAAAGTGATATAAATGCAAATAATTGGAAGACATATTATAATTTAAATACAAATTGTAAATTGAGATTCTGTTTTGTATTTTAGAAGTTAAATTATTGCATTTTTTCACAGTGGGTTTTATATTATCTTATAATATGATTCGTTATTTACATTTGTGAATTTAATGAAGAAAAATAGTGCTAATAATATGTCTGCCCTTTGCTCAATCCAAAGATACTTTTATCCAATAGTTCTCATGTTCCGTTTTTATAGTTTCCCCACTACGTGAAGTGGATTGATTTCCAATAAGTACCTATAGTTAGAGGAAAGGAAAATCTTTGGTATTTTTTATAGGCACTTGAAATATATTTTCCTATGACTAAAATAGAACCAAGCTGGATTAATACTCTTTACTATTTTTTTATTCTATTACATTAATAAAAAAAAACAGTTTGTCCCATTTCTTTTTGTGTTGCATTATAAATGTGTTAGTAACTTCATGTGGATGTTTACACGTTTCAATTAATTGTACTTAAATGTCAATTTATATTCAATTTGGTCTACAGATTTATTGTAACTCATATTACAGTATCTTATATATAACTAGCTGGTACCCGCCACTTTGTCCGCGGGGAATTAAAATAAATACTATAATAATTCTAAAATAATTGTTTCTCAGTGTACTCCTGACAACATTACGTATATACCTACGAGTGAAAGTCTTGTCAAAATTGGTCTAGCCGTTTCAGAGATTTGCAAGAACAAACAGACAGACATTTTTTTTCACTTAGGTATGTACCGTATA